GTGTGTGTGTGTGTGTGTGTGTGTGTGTGTGTGTGTGTGTGTAAAATTGACATGCAAAAAGGCACCAAGTCCTTGACATGGCAGAAGAAAGTGATTTGCAGGAGGTGAAAGCGCACAAAGTATGTTTTTATGGAACAAATTTCCTCAGTTAGAACGACCTCCATAGATTTACTGTGGCCAGTGGGATGATTTGTGTTCAATTAATTGGTACCTAAAATTGATGCACACTGTTGCCATTTTTATTCATGAAATACGATGACAACGACCTCGATCGTGTAACAGGGCCTACGCAAGATATCATTCCAGCAGGTGTAAAAATTAGTCGACTTTTCGCCAACACATTAGGTGGAGGGCCGGGCGGCTGTCAAAAGGAAACATCCTTGGTATACCAGAGCACCCAGCGGAGAGGCTCACCAAATTCCCAAACGAGCGCATCAAGGCTCGTGTTGGCAGGAAAAGCAGGATGCACCAGTTTTTGTGCCCTATGTGTTTATATGCCAACAGTGAAACTCCTCTACAACGAAACCTACATGGGCGAAAATACCTCCGAGTGTGAAAAAATCTTCATGCATTAACACCATTCCCACTCTCCTGCCCCCCATACAATGAAAAAAAAACCCCTGTTGCGTTATCCAAAATCTTTTTCTCTGCTCTTGTCTCGCGACGAGATTCACTGCAACGAAGTCTAATCCAACAACGACCTCGACTGCTTCGTTTGAAAACAGAAACAGCAACCACCACACTGGTTTACACATGCGCAGTAGTTCAGGAAGTATTTGTTATTGTTAGTTTCAGACGCAGCAAGAATGTTACATTGCTAAAATGGCTACAAAACGGACCTTTGGATGTCAAGCAGCTAAAACAAGAAGAACTCTGACGCTGGAAGAGAGGGTAAAAGTGATCAAAATGAAAGACGGAGGAAGCAAAATAAAAGACATTATCCAAGAAATTGATGTAAGTGAAAGCTGATCATAAATTTCGCAATTTCTTTCCCTTTTTTTCTTTCTACACTGACTATATGAAGTGTCAAATAAGTGTATGCTCATACTTATGTACTATTGGAATAAAAATAAAGAGTACACATACGTTTGTGTGCGTGTGTGCGTGTGTGTGTGTGTGTGCGTGTGCGTGTGCGTGTGCGTGTGTGTGTGTGTGTGTGTGTGTGTGTGTGGTGTGTACATGTGTGTTTACATCTGAGATCAAATTTGCTACAGTGAAAAAACCCCTGTTGTGAAAAATTTCTTGCTGCAAACATGATTTCGTTGTAGAGGAGTTTCACTGTACGCCAATTGACACCGAATCTGCTAGTCCTGTATGCATATAGTCCATGACAGGACTGGCAGACAGGAAACGCATTAGGAAGACCGGAAAAAAAACAAAACTCCAGATAACAAACTCAATTCAGATGAAAACAAAATGCAAAAGCAAATATAAAAGTTAGAACAAAAAAAAAAAAACAGATCCAAACAGCTTGGTTCCCCTTTCAGTACCTGAAGTAAATCGTCACGTGCTGCTTTTATATTTAAATGAACATTGAAGAGCATTATTTCACTAATAAGTTTGTTTTGGCCACGTTTGAATGTAGAACCTGTGTCAGGTTTAACCCCTTCAGGGACAGTGGTTACTACAGTGGACAGCCTATCACGTCATCAGGTTGCAGGTTGTCATTATTGGTCCATGAAAGGGATAAAACTTGGTTGGTCACATCTGGAAATGTGTTTGGTTGGACTGAATACTGAGAAGTTTCACAATAACAACTACAACATGAGAAATGGCAGAAGCATATAATCACATACCCACCCTACCCTCGGAACACCCTCCCACCCCTTATAATGAGGAACCCAAATATCTGGTGTTTATGCAATACAGCTGTTGATCTTCAGTAGCCCCATCTGTACCTTGTTGCCACAGTACTCTGGGCGAAACTTAACTCTTAACAAAGCAGAGATATTTGAAACAAAACAGAGCCTTGTTCCGTGACATCATGAAGCAAAAGTACAATGACGTAACTGTGAACATGAATCCAATTTTTTCTTTGCGCTGCGCTGCAACAACTGTGTGAACATGCACGGGTACAAATTCTGTCGAAATGGGACAGCTGTACTGCCTTGACTCTGATGCACCAATGTATCTGGAAGACAGCGTGAACTTAGTTTAAGTGCCTTAAGCCCTTCAGAGAACTATAATCTGACCATCCTTTGACTTTTGTTGGACATGGCATAGCAGTACTCGCAGCTTTCCAAAAACTTTCAATGGGTTCAACCTTTAAAATAAAAAAAAGATGCGATACGCCAGACCCAGAAGAAGAGCTGAAGGCCATTATCAGACCAACTTGGGCTCTCTTAACACCCGAGCAGTGACACACACTGATGCCACGTCACATTGCTGGAGTAATTCAGACAAAAGGAGCACCAACTAAGTATTGAGTGCTGTACATGTACATACTTTTCATGTTTATCCTTTTCGGTTGGCCAACATTTCTACAACTCCTTTCTTTGTATAGTCATAAGATTTTTTCATTATATTCACATTTTTTGACCAGCTCCTGTATAGGTAAAGCCGAAATAATATGCTGCTTGTATATTTTCCCTCATATGCCATCACAGGACTTCTTCCAACACCATTGCAGCTGTGGTGCAGCCACTTTGGCCTTTGAGGACATAGGCGATGTTTTGTCACCCAGTGGAACACTCTCTGATCTATCCGCTATCCCAGAAATCTCTCGGCACCCGCTCATATCATCCCAGAGTAGTAAGTAATAAGATTTCATTCACATTTTTGGAAGAATGAAAAAATGTCTCTTGTGCTGGATATTTTAGTGCCAGTTAAGCACATTTTTGTATTGTAGTTTCAATTCATATATTCCATCCATCCATCCATTCTCGACCACTTATCCAGGGTGGGGTTGCAGGGACAACAGCTTTAGCAGGGAAGCCCAGACTTCACTCTCCCCAGCCACTTCTTCCAGCTCTTCCCGGGGCATCCCAAGATGTTCCCACACTAGCGGGGAGACATAAACTCTCCTGGGTCGTCCCTGCGGCCTCCTGCAGGTGGAACATGCCCGGAACACCTCACCAGGGAGGCGCCCAGGAATCATCCTAATCAGATGCCCGAGCCACCTCATCTGGCTCCTCTTGATGTGGAGGAGAAGCGGCTCTACTCCGAGCCCCTCCTGGATGACCGAGCTTCTCACCTTATCTCTAAGGGAGAGCCCGAACACCCTGCAGAGAAAACTCGTTTCGGCCGCTTGTATCTGGGATCTCGTTCTTTCGGTCACGACCCATAGCTCATGACCATAGATTAGGGTTGGGACGTAGATCGACCGGTAAATTGAGAGCTTCGCCCTTTGGCTCAGCTCCTTCTTTACCATGTCAGACCTATACAAAGTCCTCATCACAGCAGACACTGCACCGATCTGCCTGTCGATCTCCTGCTCTATCCTGCCCTCCTTCATGAACAAGACCCCAAAATATTCAAATTCCTCAACTTGTGGTAAGATCTCATCCCCAACCTGGAGAAGGCACTCCACCCTTTACCGGATAAGGACCATTGTTTCAGAGTGGAGGCGCTGATTTTCAACCCAACTGCTTCACACTCAGGCAGTGACCTAACAGCCACACTTACACTTCACACTCTATAATGCTTTTCCCAGATTTCTCATCTTTCATGAAATTTTCTAATGACTGTGTCTGAAGAGATAATGAAAACTATAAAAAAAATTAAGAAGCAGGCACACTGCTCATTACTTGTAGTTGGCTGACCAATCGGCCTCATAATGCTGTTTTATATACTTCCTGCACATCCAGATTTTAAAAATGACATACAAAAATCTTGGGAAATTTACACATATCATCTCCTTAAACTCTGAATTAATTACTGTCACTGTTTTGTAACATCACTGATTAAATAAAATAAAGTTTGAACGAATTATCTGTCGAAAGCTATAACAACAAGCAAAAATAAACCCTGAAAAGTTTTGAAAATATTGAGTGTAACAAGTTAATTTGAGCAAAAATAGACAAAGCCCAATTCGCTTTTTTTTTTTTTTTAGCCAGGGGGATCGTGTTTAGGATTAAGTCCCCATATAAAGACACATGCTTAAAAATATAATGTCTGCTGCAAAATTAGACTGCATGTTCTTTTTCAGACAGTCTTGCTATAAGCTATAAGCATAAAAACCAAAATTTATTAGAGTTTCAAGTCAGTGGACTGGAGAATTCTAAAACCTGTCTAGAACAGTCTAAATCTATCAAGGAATCACCATTTAATACATTTCTGCCACTTTTGATAAACTTTCAAATATGACCATATTGTTTTAATTTCTATGTTGACACCTTTCTGTAATGAATCTCATGCATATGTTATAATTACTGTGTTCCATTTTTAAAATCCTGACCCTACAGCAACCCTTCATGCTTTTCAGTTTCCATGTTTACCTTGTCATCAGAAACCAGCTCAAGTTGATATTAGTCATGTGGGAATGTAGTAATCATCCCCCAAATTTTATTGCGGTGTTTTCACTGCCTTTGCGGATAACGGCTGACATCACGGTGGTCCTTCAGGGAAATTATAACTAAAGCAAGGGCATGAAGCAAAATTCCTGGCATCCTAAGTCAAGACAGGAACATATACTGTCCCATGGCCTGTGGAATGTATCGGTTCCTCCTCTGAAAGGCAGGAAATTCGGCATTTCGCTCAACATACAAGGAAAGCGTTGTCCTTGCTTTGTGAAACGAGGAAGTAATGCTGTAAAAGCCCGTATCACACACGCTTGTATATGTAATGGACATCAAAAACTTGTAAGTTTCAAGTAGTTCAACCAAGCGACTTAATTTTCCAATAATCAAAAATTATCAATCCGCAAGGTTTCATTTGTGCGTCATGCTTAGCAAAGACTGTAAACGTGAATTCCGAAGAAATTGTTTTCCATGAACCTGTTGGATGGGAGCGGACAAATGCCAAAGAAGTCATTCATCACTCCTTTTAGCTCCCTTGAAGTTTGTTTTGGCTCTTACGTTTAAAGACGAATACAGAATCTCACAAATGACTCCAGCGAGTATTTAAAGTTGTCATTTTGGGAAAGCATTTCTACCTGTTGGGTGCTCATTTGGTTGGGCTTGTGTCAAGTGAAGTTTACCCCATTGGTAAACGCAGCATCGACTGTTGGCATGGTTTATTTTCATTCTTGATTAAAATATAATGATAAGAAGAAGACAGTTGTTTTAGTGGCCTCAGACCTTCAGATCATATTCCAACTTAAAACTCAAGTACAGGAAACACTTCAGCGTTCCAATCCCTCCTCTGCCATTTCGTACATAGATATTTTTTTAGGCGGCACGGTGGAGGACCGGTAAGCACGTCGGCTTCACGGTGCAGAGGTGGGTTTGATTCCTGCTCTAGTTTTCCTGTGTGGAATTTGTATGTTCTCCCCGTGCCTGCGTGGGTTTTCTCCGGATACTTCGGTTTCCTCGCACATTCTAAAAATATGCATGGCAGGTTAATGGGGCACCCTTAATTGCCCTTGGGTGTGATTGTGAGCGTGAATAATTGCCCTGCGTCTGACTGTCGGGCAACCAGTTCAGGGTGTCCCCCGCCAATTACCTGAGACAGCTGGGATAGGCTCCAGCACCCCTCCCCCCCCCGACCCTTGTGAGGACAAGAGGATTAGAAAATGGATGTATATATTTTTAAATATTGAAAAAAAAAATCTGTGAAGATGTACTGAATTGCAAGTACCGTATTGGCCCGAATATAAGACGGTGTTTTTTGCATTGAAATAAGACTGAGAAAGTGGGGGTCGTCTTATATTCGGGGTCTAGACATTATACCCATTCACGATGCGAGATGGCACCAGATATCAAGGAAGCAAATGCTGAACTTGACTCCCCAGGCCAAAGTGACCCCCTGCCACGAAGAATAAAAATAAAAATAGCGGTAGCACGAAGAAGAAAAATAAAAAATAGCGGTAAGAAGGAAAAGAGAAGAAATAATAGAAGAGATAACAGAAAATGGAGAAACGTAGTGACAATCTGGAGAAAAGTGGGCCGAAGATCGGCCAGGTCAACCGGCAGCTGAGGAGAAGTTATGATGTAATTTACATTTCAAAAACCAGAAGCCATTCATTTACGAATGTGATTGCACTTTAGATTTGAATGACGCAAAATAACATGCTTTTTCTCTCAAATATATTGTTATAATCATTTGTTTCAGATGTACTGTAATTATTTTCTGTATAAAAATTAATTTGGTGTTCAAAACGTCTTTTCAAACTTGAGTCTTGAAAAAGAGAGGGTCTTCTTATAATCAGGGCCGTCTTATACTCGGGCCAATATGGTATTTGGTCATCCATTGTACATTGTGCAAGCA